AAGTGAACACATGTTTTCATTACTCTTGGAATAGAATTGCTGGGCCACATGGTAACTATGTTAACTTTCTCAGGCACTGCAAAACTGTTTTCCACAGCAGCAACACCATTTGACATTCCCACCAAAAATGTATGAGGGTTCCAATTTCTTCACATCCTTATCAACACTAGTTATTATCTCTTTTTGATTAGAGCCTTCCTAATGAGTGTGAAGTGTAATCCCATTGTGATTTTGATTTGCATTTCCCTGAAAGCTAATGATGCTGAGCATCTTTTTTTGTGCTTATTAGCTATTTGTATATATTCTTTGGAGAAATGCCTTTTCAGATAATTTGCCCATTTTTAGTTATTTGTCTGTTTATTATTGAGTTATTAGAGTTTGTTATATATTCTGGATACAAGTCCCTAATCAAATATATGATTTGCAAATGTTTTCTCCAATCCTGTGGGTTGTCTTTCACTTTCTTGATGGTGTCCTTTGAAGCATAAAACTTCTTAATTTTGATGAAGACCAATTTTTCTCTTCTTTTTTTGCTTGTGGCCTTGGTGTGAGACCTAAGAAACCACTGCCAAATCCATGTTAATATGGACTGTGTGATTTTGGACTTTGAGGTGGGAAACTAAAGATGGCAAAGAAGCAGTAGAGCAGAATTCTAGTCTCTGATGACTAAAAACCTGCATGCTAGCCTTGGACTGACAAACTCTGGATGTATTTTACATGAGAGTGACATAAAGTATTTTATTTTTAAAAATCAAGAACATGTTTCCTAAAATATACCATAGAATGAAAGATAAGAGTACAAGAACATACTTCACAAACACATATAATCGACATCAGCTTAGTATCCATAATGCATAACAAAATTTTACAAACTGATAACAAAAGAGAAACAACCCAGTAGAAAACTGGGGAATAGAAATGAGCATTTCACAGAAAAGGAAATATTTGTAGCCAATCAGTATATGAAAAAATGCTCAAACTGGTTAATAATCATAGAAAAGTAAATTTCACACTCACAAAAATAACGTTTTAAGTCTAAAATATCTATCAAGTGTTAGCTATGGTAAGGAGCAATGGGAAATCATTCCTTGCTTGTGAGAGTATAAATTTGTATAATCATTTTGGAAAACAATGCTTTGAAGAGCTCTATGAGGATAAGGGCTAGTTGTAGTGGGAATAACTGAACAAGCAAGCTGGAAAGGTGGTAAGTTATGGTTAGAAAATGTAATGTTTGAATTTGTGATTTAGGAGGCAGAGAAGTTTGTGATGACAAAGCACAAGGTGTGAGTGGCTGGCTAAAGTGGAGGAGTGTTCACTGGATATAACAAGGCATGTCAGTCTGGGTCCAATCAGGATAGAGGAAGCATGGAGGGAGTTGAAGAGGAAAAGTTAAACAGAAAGAATTATTAATGATAACAGGGGATTGGAGTAATGAAGAGGATTGCTAGTAAGAAGTAAAGGGGACTCTAACAGAATACAGAGATAGCAGAGGTACTATATTATAGCAGGCAATATAAACATAATATATAATAGTCACTCCCTTAGAGCTGTGATAATAACCCTGCCCTCCATTTGCAGCTGAGATTCAGGCCTTGTTGTAGAAGTTGCTCTGGGGCTGAGTCAGTGAAACTTGCTGGACATCCGCCCTCTAAATAGTCACAGAAAATGTGCCCTTCCAGCGTGCTGGTTTCCCATCCACAGGGGAGGTGTCTCACCAGGGACACTTTGCTACAGAACCATCCACGGATGGTGCTAGTGGAACCTGCTACCCACTGTGCATTGAGGAAGCTGGAGCTGCACAAGGTGAGCACTAGTAAAGCTGGGAGTCCGCAAGGAGCTTGTGGAGTGAGCGCACAGGAAACAGGAAGTGAAACCCCTTCTTCCTGCAATGTCTCTCCACCACCGTCTACTGATAAAACTTCATATCATGCCAGCTGGCAAAGTTAAAATTATTTAAAGGTCCCAGGTCCATTTTCCCAGAGCAGGCATAAAGAGGGGCTGAGAAGTAATACATCAATTACAGGAGGAGGAGGTCAAGGAACAAAGCAGTCCTGATGTCGGATTGTTCTTGTGGATATTGACATGACCTAGGTACTAGCAGAAATTGGGGTGGAATGGAAGGTTATAAACCAGCTTGTTTCTCCAAGTGTGACCTTGGTCCACTGGCATCGGAATCAGATAGGAGACTTTAATAACACAAATTCCTTTGCCCCATTGAATATCTTTTGAACTAGGGTACTGGGGACTAAGCCCCCAAATCTTTTTAACAAGTGCCTGGATGGATTCAAAAATTTTAAAAGTCAATTATGATATTTCAAACACATAAAAGGGAAGAAAATAGCGTACACAAGCAAGCAGTTTTAACAAATGTTAACATTTACCTTACTTCCTGCAGGTATTTTTATGTTTAATAAAATGTGCCCTCTTTCAGCTCAAGTTCCACTTTCAACCCTGTCAGGGAGATGTTTCTGGAAAATCAACTAAACTGTGCTCTGTTAAAGTCCGTTAGGATGAGAGGATGAGGGAAAGCCAGTGAGTAAGGAAGCAGGCTCAGTGGCTCAGGGCAGATCGTCCAAAGGAGCCCTCTTCGCTCTCTTTACCCACTCTCTTGTGTGGAGCTTGTTGCTCTTTGTGTCACTGTGATCTGAGCCCCCTACCCTATGGCCCAACTTCATGAGCTCCTCTCTATTGTCACCTGCTTCCCTCCCGAGCCTGGATTGCGCGGATAGTCATTTCACCGAATGCTTGCTACTGCTCTGGAATTCCTTGCTTTCTTGACATTTGACTGCACCAACCCTAACTTCGAGTCTTCATCCTAATAGAACTGCTTTTTTCTGCCTTGAGGGAGTAGCCTTGCCCTTCTGATTTTAGTTCGTTACTTAGAGTAATTTTCTGCAGCCAGTGTCCAAAATGAGGCACATTTTCATCCAGGTGACCTTAGTGGGCTCAAGCCTACTTTGGACTAGGCTGGGTTCCTGAAATTACGCAGGCTTTGTTCTTTATCAGAAAATGTGATATCTCGATAATACTGCCAGATTTGTTTGTAGAGTACAATTTTGATGAGCAATTATGAAAACTGTCCAAATGACATATAAAAATGTGTCTAAGTAGGTCTGACTTGAGAATTTCATCTATCAACAAATGGATTTTATTTATTTTTTCTATTACACAGGTTTGGTCATGGGTCAAAAGTCAATTAAAACTTTTGACTGACTATACTTGCTTTGCTTATAAGTATAATAACATCAAATCAAATATTTGGAGGTCAAATCTTTGTTGTAGAACTATTGATATACACAACAAATGGATGAACCTCAAAACAATGATACTGAGTGGAAGAAGCCAGATAAAAGTAAGTACCATCCTGTATGCTTCCATTTATATAAGATTCTAGAAAAGGCAAACTCATCTATAGGGACTGAAAGCAGATTGGTGGTTGCCTGGGATTTGAGAGGAAAAAAGGCAAGAAGAGGTTGAAAGAGCACAAGGACACTTTTGGGGGTGATGGAAAGGTTTATTTGGAGTGTGTGTGTGTATGTGTGTGATTGTATTACAGGTGCACATATGTATCAAAATAAGTAACTTGTATACCTTAACGTATGTTCAGTTTATTATATGCAAATTATATCTCAGTAAAAGTATAAAAATCACTATTAGCAAGAAAAAATGTTTTAAGCCATTAAAAAATTCTTATAATCAAGTAGTGCCAATATCCAGGATACCATATGAGTACATTCATTCATTTGACATTTTTTAAAAAACATCTACTGTGTACCTGGTACTTTGCTGGGAACAGTATTAAACAAGACAGGCCAGACCTCTACTCTAGGGTGGTTACATTCTGGTGGAGGAGACAGATTAACAAGTAGTAATAGGAAAGTGTGATAAGTGTTATGAAAGGGCAAGAAGGGGAAGCTTTGAAAACATTTAGCAGGGTTATCTAAACTGATTATTTGGTAGTAGATGCCTAAAGCTGTGTTGACAAGGATTCTGAAGTTTAGCAGAATCCCATGCATAAGAAGGGATTTGCCATATAAGGCTATATTGTTATAGTTGAACTTATACATTTCTCAGTAGTATGAGTATTTCAACTGGTTATGAAAATGTTTGATAACAGTAAAGATCTCTTGTTGTAGACCAGTTTTTTTCCACAGCTGCATTTTTAATGCAAAATGTTTCTTGTTGGGCAAACATCAACCTTCCAGACTGCAGTGTAGACAAGACAATACTCTTTTGTTCTCAAAAGTTCTGTTTTCAAGTGTTTTTTACCCACTTATGTGACTGTGTCTGAGCCTTTGCTAAGGGTGCTGCAGCTGGATTGTGCAGTGGAACCAGGTCCAGAAAAAGAACTGCTAAAGAATGTAAGTAAACAGGATGTCAGATGTTATCCTTAGCCTATTTCCCTAAACATAGCTTTTTGGCTGCAAAGTTAAATGCCATTCTTTTAGCTTCTGCTTATACACAGTGATGGCTGACAGCAGCACAATTGTCATTTGCTTGGCATGTTATCATCATGCAACTCAATGCATTTTGCAAGGAATGATCATGACACACTATCTCCATGAGACAGGATGAGGACATCTGGCCATTTCTTGGAAGAATTTCTCAGCACCACCTTCTCTGAGCCCTGTTGTGCCAGCACAGCTCCCCATGAGGCTCAGATATGTCTGACCTAAGAGGCACTTGGCATCTTCCTCCTAACAGAAGCCAGATTTTCACTGGGGTGAGACTAGTTATTGACAGCATTTTCCCAGACTGGCCCATGAGTGTCTTATTTCCAAGGTCCCCTGAAGTGCTGGCTCACCTCTGTTTTCCAAGTGCACTTGCTTCCTTCTCTCTCCTCCCTCCCCAGCATCCTCCTCACTTCCTTCCCTTACAGCTACTGGCACTGTTTTGTGTGTGTGTGTGTGTGTGTGTGTGTGTGTGTGTGTGTGTGTGTGTTTCTCCTTTTTTTTTTGTTAAATCTTAATGAATGTGTTTTGCAGGTTTGGAAAAGAAAAGCAGTGTTGTCCAGTATTTTTACATTCATTCTGTTTCCACCTCTTTGAGTGTGATCTCTGCAGTTTTCAAATCCCCTAATTTGAGTGGGTTCCACCCTTGTCTAAGAAAAGTGGTTTAAAAGCTTTGCCCCGCAAGCACCAGAAGAGAACTCAGAAAAAGGAAGACAGCAGCACATGCAATCGCGGATGTGGCTTTAGTCCTTGCTGCTGCCCCAGAGAGCTGTTCCAGCGCGCCGTCCTCAGTAATGAATCCAGAAGAGAGAATCGTGACATGGCTGATATCCTTGGGAGTTTTAGATTCCCCCAAAAAGACTATCTGTGACCCAGAGGAGTTCTTGAAGTCCTCGCTGAAAAATGGGGTAGTGCTGTGCAAACTGATCAACAGACTCAGGCCTGGCTCTGCAGAAAAGGTAAGGGAAACGCACAGGGTCTCCGTGACTGCTCACCGCCAGAGAGCAGCAATAATGTGACTCTTGAGATGTTCTATTGCCCAGGTCATGGGACTCTCCTACTTTCATCTCTACGAGTCAGACATTCTTTCTTACTGTAGTTGGTAGTTTGAGAAAGTCAGAAAATGAAATGTTATCCTTTAGTAATTGGTGCCCAACTATTAGTACAGGACAAAACTGCTACACCGCTGGTACCCGGGGACAAGGAGGACACCGGTATCACAAGCTTGCTCGGTCACAGAGATACATGGTGCACTTCCCTGTGTACCGAGGACGCTTTGAACTTAAAGTACATATGAGTTTGTGTGTAATAATGGAATGATTTAATAGTTATATGTATGATTTATATGGTGTTTATTGACAGTTTGACTAGAATCAGTATAGATTTTCTTCTCAAAGAAGTAAGCTATATATTGAAAGATGGGATATTTAGCAGCCAGGAGAAATAATCCAGAATGTCACATAGGTTTGTTAAAATAATAGAAACCAAATAGACGTTTCGAATGCAACATGTGATCAAAGTGAAACTAACCATAGTCTCTCTTAAAAATCCACAATTTTTAAATTCAGAAACCTATGATCCCAAGGGTGGATAATTTCTACAGTAGATGCTTTAACTTTAAAATTAGAGTCTTACAATTATTTTCTTAAGATGGGCAGGAAATGTGACTATAGTTCTACCTTCTTGAACCACATTGTATTTTTAGTGAACAAACTGATTTACCTGTAATTTTTGAACTTGAAAAACAGAGATAAACCAGTGGTAGAATATAGAGAACTGTGATCAGATGTAGAGAACAGCAAAGGGGAAAATAGAGTTTCACTACATTATCATAAAGAGGATGGAGGGAGGGAATCAGTTAAAAGCAAGAACCAAGCTTAGTAAACTGTCTGAGTCTCTGTCATTTGCTGTCACCACACAGGCAGAGGGCATGAAAACAATTTGTAAGTGGAAATGGCTTGGGACTAAAGGTTTGCTGACATTTGAAACAGAGACCGACCGTTTAGATTTTGCATCACTTCCTTCAGTGGTTACTGCTCTTCCTGGACTGACAGCAATGCTGTCTCCTGCCTTAAAAGGCCTACCTATCTATGACGGGGGACAAATTAGTGAGAATGTTTGGTATGTTGATCTGGGTGATGGGTATATGAGTGTACACACATGTCAAAATTCATTAAGCTGTACATCAAGGTTTGTGCATTTTATTGTATGTCTTTCAATTTAAAAAAAAGCCTACCTATCTAGTTATCAGTGAGTGATGAGTATGGTATGTTTGGCACCGGATGACAGTCTCCAAGTGACGTGTGACTATGTTTCTCTAGTACTATCTGGAGCCCCAAACTGAAGCCGACTGCATCGCCAACATCAGTCACTTCCTGAAGGGAAGTGCAACCCTTCAAGTGGAGGTAAGCCTGTCCAGGTTGCCTTCTGCGTGGCCATCATCTTTTGCTCTGCTAAGGAAGATGTGTTGCAATAAAAGTACTTGGTTTATGTGCACTGTCAAACAGAGGTAGCATTTGCTGGAAGCCACGGTTAAGTTTGGTGCTCTCCAGTGGCGGCTTGCTAATTTGTCTTTTCCAGAAACCAGTTCCAAAACAAAATCAAAACTCAAAATCTGGTATCTTTTACATACAGCATCTAAGCCCTGCAAGCAGGCTTCTGGGGATAGAGCTCCTGTGTGGTGCTTTGCTACTAAGGGGAACAAAAAGTGAGCTACTGGCTACTGCACAGGGTCACTGTAACCCCCTGAGTTGAGAAGAGAGAAAAGCTTACTGTCACTTTTTCCCATTAACACTTTAGAACAGAGGCCCTGAAAAGGTGAGAGAATCTGGCCCTGAGGTAGAAATTGGATATGAAATCACATTGCATTGTTTTATTTATATGGATCCTCAGGGTACCATAGGAGGAGTTGCTGAAAAGGAGGTGATACTTTCATCTGTGTGTCAAATTACATAACTTCTCTGTTCCTCAGTGTTTTTATCTAGAAAATGCACACAATAATAGCTACGTCAAGGGGATGTTTTAAGGATCAAATGAGTTACTGCATAATAATTTAGAGCTAGGAGCTGCAACCCCAAAAGATATCTTAGATAATGTATATAGAGTGCTCAGTGTGAGACCAGGAATATGGGAAGCATAGAGATAGCATTCGTAGTAGTGTTTGTGGAGAAGTATGTGTAGCGGTTTGAGCATGGACTCTGTCTGACATTAGATTGCTTGGGTTCAAATCTCAGTTCTCTCCCACTAGTAGCTTTGTGACCTTGGGCATGTTACTCAACCATGCCTTTATGCCTCAGTCTCCTCACCTGTCAAATGGGAAAAATAGTAGCACTTATCTCATAGCATTGATGTGAGATGTCAATGAATTCACGTACCAGGAAGAGTCCCTGGCACATAGTAAGTATTCTCTGGGTGTTAGCCAATAGTAGTAGTAGTAGTACAGGTAGCTTTGCTCCAGATAAGCTTTGCTTGCTTAAGAATGTTTCCTAAAGTTAGCCGTAGGCTCAGGTTACACCTCTCTCTGAATTTTTTTTTTTCGAGGTTCCCCTACTGGCCAATTTTAGCTGTTTGTGCATGTATGGTTTTTGAGGTCAATGTAGCCTGAGATCACTTTGTATGATGTCTACTATGGAATAGGTCATGGTGTTTTCTTTTTGACTTGTCAAATAAAAACATGGTGAAGTTGCCAGTGCTTTCGGCACTTGGAAGCTGCCAGAGGGTATATGGAGCTTCTTTGCAGTTCCAAGCACACTAGATGATACAGGCACACCTCCCCGAGTTGGCATTGCTGCAGAATGAATCGTTTCACAACTGGATTTTTCTGATAACTAATGCTTCCTCCATTAAGCACCAATGCTTTAAATATCTTTATCCACTCTGGATACAAATCTAAAAACTGTATCATAATTTTTGATTTCTTAAGTGAAAAGCACTGGACATTTTTATCTCCTTTTGATAACTCAGGCTGGCCTGAACATTGTATGGATATTGTGGTAAGGCAATAGCTGGTGTCATGGCTAAGGACACACCTTCTCTAGTTTGACAGACTCGGGTCAGCTTCGTGGCTTGGTCAGTTACTGACTGGGTGACTGGGAAAAGTTTACTTGGCCTTTCTGTGATCTAGTTTCCTCATCTGTATAATAGAGACATTAATAATATCTACTAAATAGGATCGTTTTAAGGATCAAATGAAATAATGCAGATCATCTCAGGCACTTAGTATATCAGGGCACATAAGACATGCATAAGAGCTGCTGGCTGCTGTGTTAGTGCGAGGTAGTATTGTATGCAAAATTATGCCTGAAAGGGGTATACAGGAGCCTTATGGAGCACTCCTAGAATGCTGAGGGAAGTCTAATAGAATCATAAGGAATGAGACTGACAGCAGACCTGGGGTGAACCCAGCAGCCCAGAATACTGATCATCCAGTCTCAGGCTCCCAGGTAGAGAGGAGACAGATCTAAGCACAAATATTTTGAAATAAAAAAAATTAATTTTTATTGACTATATTTGACATATAACATTGTGTCAATTTAAGGTGTGTACACTGTGTTGCTCTATATTTTTATATTGTAATATGATTGCCATTGTAATATTTATCACATCACATAATTATAGTACAATATTAGTCTATATCCATTATAGTGTGCACTAGGTCACCATAGCTTATTTACTATTTGTTGCAAATTTTGCCCCCTTAAATGTCAATTTTTACCACCCCCATCCCGTGGTAACCACCATTTTACTGTCTGTTTTTTTGTTTGACTTTCTTAGATTCCACAAAGTGATATCATACCGTGCTTGTCTTTCTCTGTCTGACTTATCTCACTTAGCATAATGTGCTGAGGCTGCATCCATGTTGTTGCAAATGGCAGGACAGTCTCTTTTCTGTGGCTGAAAAATATTCCACTGTGTATCTCACTTGCACACTACATCTTTTTTGTCCAGTCATTTGTTGATGGGCACTTAGGTTGTTTCCATAGCTTGTCCTTTTGGATTGAGTATAACTCAGGCCTAAAGTACCTAGCTCAATGCCCACTACAGGACACGGTTAGCAGATTTTTGCTGATGGTGTAAAAGTATTAATGAAAAGCAAGAAGAGTAGGGCCTGACTATTGCCCAGCATGCACTGCTACTTATCTAAAGAAAGAGTGCCAGTTTGAAATGGTTGGTTTGGAAATGCAGAAAAATGGAGCCAGAGATGCAGCAGCACACTGACAGTCTGAGTATTGGCTGTGAGGCATGGGGCCAGATTAACAAGCTGCTACCTTTTACTCTCTAGGTGGCCAGTTGGCCTGTCCAAGTGGCTTCCAGCTTTAGGTTCTCCTATGGCTATAATGTTCTAAGGTCCCCAGAGTATCACACAGCTAGCAACTGGTCAGGGAAGTCTGCTGAGACACCTGGGAGAAAAAGCATTCTTTGAAGTGCCTCCTCAACTTTGATAATGTCCTTTGAAACATAAAAGTTTTTTAATTTTGATGAAGTCAAATTAATCTATTTTTTATTTTGTTGCTTGTATTTTGGGTACCAGGTCTGAGAAACCATTGCCTTATGCAAGGTTATAAAGATTCACTCCTGTGTTTTCTTCTAAGAGTGTCATAGTTTTAGCTTTTACATCTAGGTCTTTGGTCCGTTTTGAGTTGATTTTTGTGTATAGTGTGAGACGGGATCCAAATTCTTTCTTTTGCATGTGGACTTCCAGTTGTCTCAATACTGTTTGTTGAAAAGACTACAAGACTATTCTTTTCCCCACTGCTTCAATTAATGTAGCCGGGAAGTAAGTTTCCAAATCAGAAAGCACGAGTCCTCCAGTTTTGTTCTTCATTTCAAAATCACTTTGGCTATTTGGATCCCTTGTGTGCCCATATGGATTTGAGGATCAGCCTGTCTATTTCTGCAAAAGAGCCAGCTGCAATTTTGATAGGGATTGTGTTCAATCTGTATATCACTTTGGGGAGTATTGCCATCTTAAGAATATTAAGTCTTCTGTCCATTAACACAGGATGTCTTTCTATTTATTTAGGTCTTTTTAAATGTCAGTCAACAGTGTTTTGTCATTTTCATTGTACAAGCCTTGTATCTCCTTGGTTCAATTTGTTCCGAAGTATTTTATTCCTTTTGATGGTATGGTCAATGGAATTGTTCTCTTAATTTCACATTTGCAAGTATTTGGCAATACAATTGATTTTTGTATATTGATCTTCTTTCCTCCAACTTTGCTAAACTTGCTCATTAGTTGTAATGGTTTTTTTTGATTCCTTGTGGTTTTCTTATACAAGATCATGTCATCCGTGCATAGAGATAGTTGTACTTCCTTTCCAATCTGGATGCCGTTTGTGTCATTTTCTTGCTTAATTTAGCTGGCTAGAACCTTCAGTACATGTAGAGTAGAAGTGAGGAGAGTGAACATTCTAGACTTGTTTTTGATCTCAGGGGGTGGCTTTCACCATTCAATATGATGTTAGCTGTAGGTTTTTTATAGATGCCCTTTACAGGTTGAAGGAGTTTCCTTCTATTCCCAGTTTTTTGAGTATTTTTATCAATGAAAGGGTGCTGGATTTTGTCAAATGATTTTCTTGCATCTGTTAAGATGATCACTGCTTTCTGTCCTTTATTATATATATATTGTATTACACTGATTAATTTTCATGTTAAATCAATCTTGCATTTCTGGAATAAATCCCAGTGAGTCATGTTGGATATGCACAGAGATTTGTGCACATCTGTGATTACTCTTGAAGCATCTTTCTTCACAGAAATGGAATTACTATGTGAAACTTTGATACTTTCAAATTCCCCTATAAAAATGCTATATGCAGTTATAGTCCCAGCAATAGTATAGAACGTGCCTTCTTCCTCATGTCCCTGGCAGCACTGGATATTAATCTTTAATGTTTACTAAAATGTTGGGTGAAAGTGGCATTTATTGCTGTAATTTGAATTTCATGATTCCTAGTGAGTTTGACATCTTACCCCTTTATCCTCCATACGTATTTCCTTTTCTGTGAACCAAATATATCTTTCATATTTGTTTACAGAATGGAGAAGGCAGGGAGGACACCCAGGCCTCAAGAGAAAATCTTCCAGAACATATTGAAAAATTCTCATGTCTGGATAGAGTGCCACTAATGTGACCAGGAAGTCCTTTGACAACACTATTCTAGCAATGGTAGTTTTGTTTTTGTTCTACCTTTGAACTTAGTGGGAGTCAGGGACATATAGTTCTTCTGAACACTCGAGGGTGGGCTGGGTGGAACTTCTCTGAACACACTGTCTTCACTCCAGCCCCCTGAATGATTGGCCTGTCACAGCTCTAGTCCTGTGGTTTTCCATTCAGCTGGCCTTCCCCTTGCCTTATCCCCAGCAGGTACTTCTGCTTTGCCTCCTGCCACCCTTACTACCAACA